AAAGAGTCTGTTATTTAATTACTTTTTAAATTTGTATATGTCATTTATATCCTCTATGTATCAGAGGTAAATATATTCTGATTTTATTTACTTCTGTTCTACCACTTACCGAGTCAGAATTGGATGGCCTGGCCTGTCACCCTCTTCAAGTGGAGGTCAAATAATACACCTGCGTGAAGAGCGAATTCGTGGCCATGCTATGACGCTGCGTGCTCTCAGCCCTGAACGAAACAGCTGGCCATGGCAGATGGACGTCGTCATTGCCATAACTAACATCAGTCTGTCCACATCCGTACGGGCTACTGCTTTAACCAGTGGACTTTTCTGCCCCCATCTGGTTGGGTGGGAGGGTCTCAGCTTCCTAGCACTTGTTGCCAATACTCGAATGCGTGTTACAAATGATTGCCGAAAACGTGTCGAAGATATTGCGAAACGGAACAAGAAATTATGCAAACTACTGATGCTTACTTTTGTACGGATTCTTTCGTGTTTAGTTTGGCCTCTTGTACTGCTTTGTGTAGATCTGTGACGATCAGTTCTTTCGTTTTATGTGTATTTATTTATTTTTATAATCCTCTTTCTCATTCCCCCCTGCAGTAGGACAAATTACATCCGTAAGCCCTCTCCGGTTCGCAAGCAAAATGGGAACAGTAAGATTTATGTCTCTGCTCTATAGTGTAGGGTTTATATGACCATAGCAGAGTTCCAAAGACGCGTAACAAATTCTCCGTTTGTGTGGAATCCGAAAGTTAATCTTCGTATGTACAAGAACCAACCCCGGACCCTATCCTGAGCTAAACAGCCCGTTCCATGGCTTCATACCGAACTCCTTAGGAGTTCATCGTAATATCCTCACTTCTTCCCGTAGAACTCCTAATTGTCCTCTTCTCGCCAGGTTCTCGCACTAAAATATGTGTTAGTTTCTCTTCTTCCCACGCTAAATTGTCAGGTGAAGAGTTTAAGTGATGTGGCTCGTCGTGATGTAATTTTATTTGTCCTCCTGTTTCCTCACTGGTTCTCATATTCGCCTCAGTCTCTGCTCTTACCTCACAGTGAGACTCAGAACATCAAAGTATTGTAGTTTTGCTTATGTAATCATAATTTTCTTTGTTAGGCCATAGAAAGATAATACATTGTCACGTGTGAAGTGACTATAGACGAAGTTTGGGTTGGTAACCGGATTTATCGCACACTTATACAACTCGTGACTACACTTTGAAATTTACTATTACATACAGACTTGTGTTCCCAGTCACAGTCTTGGCAGTGGCTTTCAACAGCGGACGTTCCTCTGCTTCTGGGTTCACGTCCTTGCAGGATGGCGACCATTTCATGCCAACCTCTGCCTTCAGCTGGTACTTCCCTCAGCTGCCAGCTCCCAGGCTGAACTGAACCCATATCAAGTCAAAATCACGACGCAACCGACGGTCAGTCGACTTGGTGTCAAGCGCCATGTGGGGCGTAAGGCCAGATTTTTGTTACTGTAAGAACATTGCAGTTTTTTGGATGTGGGGCGCCCTCTCTAAGGAGAGGACGTGTCTGTCATTACTGAACTCACAAATAAAAATTGACTCGCTATATAACCTCAGCGCGTAGAGCACAGAAAACACCGCTTCCAACAGTTCCTCGAGTGTTGTATACGTACGTGGCTTAGCGATGGCTCTGGTATTGTTGCATGTTTACACAGCCGTTGCCTAACAATGACTATTTCTCTGGCTCCCTTATTGTAGCTCTCAGGCCTCATGTCACAATGTTCTGGACTGAACTGTAGCAGACATTTGCCAGTTCAACATACTGTGTTTGTAATTAGCTGTTACTTATTTAATACTCTCTTTTTTGCAGGAACTGGTAATGGATATGTGATATCACACATGCATCAAAAATGGACGGCGAGGATGTGTCAGAACCCGCTGTTGAAGAAAGAACCATCCTTAGAATTGTGCAGAGGTAGTAAAGGAATATTACCTGCACCTGTAAATATGTTACATGAATGTGGTACAGCAGTAATACCCTTTACGCATGCTTAGCAAATGGGGACATGTGTCGTACTACCGAAGAAATGTGACCGAATATTAGACGATGGTGGTTAGAATGTGCAAGAATCTGTAACGTACCATAGTGCAGTGTTCGTGATGGCCGCCTCTCTGCTAGAAGGCAAGCGATTCTTTTGCCGGGAGTGGGCGTTCCTCAAACTAGCACATTCTCTGGAACAGCGCCCAGTATCCAAAACTTGTGGTACAATGGTGGTTGGAGGGCCTGGAACAGGCAAAACAGCCCTGTGCTGTGAGATAGTTTGGCCAAAACAGGGCTCTGCTTGTCGACAACAACGCAGCCTCAACAGACGTCTCCTGGCGTACCATTTCTGCCAAGCCCACGATGCATCTACCTTATCCCTTTCGGTCTTCGTTAGGAATATTGTGTCACAACTCCTCGCCAAATGTTCCTCTCCAATTGCAGACGAAGATGGAACTATCCTACAGTCTCCATCTTCTCCACATATCCCAAAATCGTTTTCTGCCGCTGAGGGCTATGCAGATAAAGTTCGGAACGACCCAGAAATTCTCGCTGCTTTACGTCCGGAAGCTTTAGAACGAGATCCTGATGAAGCTTTAAAACGCGCAGTCCTCTTCCCTTTACTGGAAATTGAACCTCCAAAGCAGTGCCTATTTTTATTAGTGGATTCTATAGATGAAGCTCAAATGTTGAACATGTCAGGATCATTAACTGCATCGTCCTCGAGTCGCCGTGGGTCGGTCGGAACGAGCAGGACGATCGCGGAATTGCTGGCAAACCATCACCATCTGTTTCCTCAGTGGCTTGTGCTTATCTGTACAGCAAGAAGACAGAGTAAAACCGTGTCTCGAATGTTTACAGGATTCCGGAAGATCAGCCTTGACGACCTTAGGAAATCTCAGGTTGTAAGGGATGTTCAGCAGTACATTCTAGCCCGCCTGGATCAGGAAGACTCTCTCAGGCAACACATTAGTCGTGATACGGCGGAAATGTTAAATCAGCTTCACATAAAAAGCAATGGTTGCTTCCTATATCTCGAGAAAGTTTTGGACGGAGTTGCGGAAAATTTCATTGTACTTAGGGAGATACGCGAGATCCCAGGTACTTTAAATGGTCTTTATCTTTGGCTTTGTCAAAGACTTTTTAATCGAAAACAGTTTTCAAAGGTTCAGCCTTTGCTTAACGTAATTCTTGCATCAAGAAAACCATTAACTCAGGATCAGCTTTACCAGTGTGTGTGGACGTCTAACACAGTGATGAGTCGTGAGGACTTCCAGAAGCGACTGCATCTGCTGCGACGAGTGTTGGCTGTGTGTAAGGACGGCACGCTGCTTCTCTTTCACCACAGTTTTTCCGAGTGGCTTTTGGACGTGAAGCATTGCACGCAGAAGTACTTGTGTTCCGCAAGTGAAGGCCATGCCATGCTAGCCATGAGCTATACCCTAAGGGCACATGAACTCACGGCAGACGAGGTGCAGGGCTATGCACTGCATCTGAATCGGCTGCCAGCTCTGCCAGCATCTGTTGCTAATGATCTGGCATCCTCCTGCTCGCTGGATTACCACCATATTGTGCTGCTGTGGCTTATCGGCTCCGGGGCTCCTGTTGAAGACTGCCTCCTCCAGGTGAGACATTTTAGTTCTGTACCAGAGACCACCCTTACCCACATAATACATCCAATTTTTTGAGACCAAGTTGTAGTGGAGAGAATAATATAACAAGAAGTTCTGAGAAGAACTAATTGCCTGTTTTCCTTTCATTATGGTCATAACATTTAATGTGACAAATAGACAAAACTTCTGTATGTATGCATGATTAAGCCAATAAAACAGTTCACTTTTATACATCGTGAATTGCTCATATAATAATACAATTTAAAGTGGTTAAGTTGTCTCAACAAACCAGTATTTGAGTATCAAACTGCAAAATCCTAAAGAAACTATTGAAATTTCCAACATGCAAGCAATACAAAATATTTGCAATTGAATTGAATTGAATTGAATTGAATTGAATTTGAATTGAATTTATTTACATTCTATAAATCCTAAGTAGGTTAGTACCTTTGGATACAGAACAAGTCAAAAGGTTACATACATAAGTACAGGCAATTTTAGCTTAAAAATTAATATAACTTAAGTTTACATCATTCTCTATTTACATTGAAGTATTCATCTAAAGAGTAGAAGGAATGAGCATGTAGATAATTCTTTAACTCTGATTTAAACTTTTTAGTATCATTGCCCAAGTTTTTAATACTTTGTGGCAGATTGTTGGACACTTTTATGCCAGTAAAGTAGACTCCTTTTTGATATACTGATAAAGTTGATGAGGGTAGGTGGAAGTTATATTTTTGTCTAGTATTCATGTTATAGACATCAGAATTAGTTTGAATTTATCTTTGTTGTAAACAACAAATATGATAATATGATAATATTAATTGATGAACACTTGTAGTTGGCCTTGTGAAAGTAGATTTTGTGTGAAATTATAAACATGTTTTCAAAATGTTTGTTAATTCATTTTGAATAGTAACAACATGAAAAATGTGACTGGGTTTGAGGTTTTGTGTGAGCAGTACTGGTGCTCTTTAAGGGGTGGGGCTCAAGAAAATTTGTATTTTGCCTTAAAACGAATATTTTTCAAAAATTTTCTGAAAAACTGGAAAATAATAATGTTTCAGATGCTTTGTTTGGACAATGATCATAGGTGAACAATTATAGTTACTCAGTTCAATTTAATGAGATTACAAACATGTTGAAAGTGTTACACAAAAATGGTAATTTATTTCATAAACATAAATCATTGATGTTTTCACAAGAGTGGATTGTCCCATGGCAAATATTATGTGTTCTCTCAGTTGGTTTCTCCATCTTTTTCTTCATCTCCCCAGTGATCACATTTATTTGACATCATTTTTTAAGCTTTCAACAGAAATCTGTTGTTGCCTATGCATAACACATGTCTGTAGCATTAGTGGGATCAGTATTCAATTTGACTTAGTATTCCTGTAGTATACTTTCATATTTGGTCAAACATCTTGTTTTTTTTTTTTTAGTTTGCTCCTTCATGTTTTTTCTTGATACTTCCTAGGTACTTCACCTCTGCTGCTTGTTCTTTGTTTAATATCTCTTAGAACCCATGCGCAAGTTTCCGTTCTGTATGTTGTTTGTTTTTTCTTCCCATGCCTTGAAAAGTACCAATGTGGTGACAGAATGTAAACCTTTGAGGTTAAATTTCCATAAGTAATAGGACTTTGCATTTATTAGCCCTCGAACCACCTAGAGCAGTTTTATGCAAGTTCCTGTGTATGTTATTTAAATAATACATTCATTATTTTACAGCTTCACATTAAATACAGAATTACATGAATACCGGGTAGAGTAATAATAATATGCAAAAGCCCTGTGGTTCCAGAATGGAAAAGTTCAGTGTTACGTGACATCAAATTCCATCATGGACACAATCCCAAGCTAGATCCATCCACCTTCCTTCCTCATAACTTAACTTCTGATCATTTGAAGACCCATCTTTTAGGACTTCCAAGCAACTCCATTCCAAGATATTCCCCACAGAAATTACATGTGTGTGTCAGTGGCTTCTGCTTCAGGCTTTGCATGACTTAGTATAATGTTCCAGATTCGATTACCCTAACAATACTACATGCCTTGCTAATTGTTACTTCATCACTGTCTTAGTTCCAATATTTTCCTTGACACTTTGTTGCCAAACACTCTCCATCTGACTGTGTTCTTCCTTTAGCAGGAGACCAAGTTTCAAACCCACATAAAGTTATTATTATTTAAATGCACTGTGTGTTCACTGTGTTTGGTGTACTCTTTTAATTCTCACCTATGTTATCTTGCTGGGACAAGATCTGTCTGCTACTCTTAAATATTTTCTAAATCTGGACAGGTGGATGGGTTGGATTGGGAAGAGAGACTTAGTTCTACGCTGCCTACTCCCAGAGATCCACGTGTTGTTCGATTACTCCTTGAAGCAGGTGCTAGGCTATCGACTGAAGAAGAAAGAAACGATGCCAGAGATGGAAAGAGTGGCTGTGAACATGCAGAGGAAGTTGTTTCATCTAGTCAGGTTTGTGCTGGATGTGTAGGTGCAGAGTACAGTTGTGTGAAGTCTTATATATCTAGCATGTCACATAGCATGTTAGATATATAAGCCTGAATGAAGCCAGTTACAGATGTGTTAGGTTGCTTAGAGCTAACATGTGGCATCATACTGCCAGATGTTTTCTTTCTGCCTTCAATAAATTTAAATTCTTGTTTTGCGAGTTGCTCAGTGAATGTGTTGTAATAAAGATCATGCAAATGAAGGCAGTTGAAACCAAATGTCATGGTATAGGCCAAATTATTAGCACTTTATAGTATTTTCAGAGTCCCAGGGTCATATCTCATCCAGTTGGTGAGATACCCTGTCTGATGTTCAGTTTTCCTTAATCTCTCTGACAAAAACTTTAAAATAGACCACAGATATATCCTTTCCAGTTCATCATTCACAGGAATGTTGACACTTTACACTATAGATCTTGCATCTGAGGTTTGCAGTCTAGTTAACTGTAGGATGCACTTTCTTTTTTTTTTAAAGCCAGTGTGTAGTACCAAGAGAAGAATTGAGGAGTTGAACACTGTTGCCAACATTCTTTACTGACTTTACCTTCTGCAATAAAGCAGAAAATGTATGACTGAAACAGCCAATTTTTTCTCTCTAAGCAGAAATAATTTTTTTCGGGCAGATAATTTCACAAAATATAGTACATTTTAAGTATTTACTTTAATTTTGAGTTCTGTCCAAGGCTGCAATCTTTACCCTGAAGCTGGAAGACAGTGACTAACCTACATTGCAAACAATGCATTGTTAAATAAAACAAAGTAGTTGGCAAATTTAAAGCTAGGCATTATTGTGTGTTGAATTATTCTCATTTGATGCAATCATAACCTGAAATGACAGCACTTTAAACCAAGGCCCTACTATAACTATGTACTATAATCACTGCAGTCCATGTGCCCTTATAGGACTGTTTTATATATGACCACAAATTCCAAAAATCTTCAAGCTAATAGCCAGAATAATGCAGAACTTGAATAAACAGTATACACAGGTTGTGTAGTTATGCATAGTGGAATTTTGAAGTATTGTAGGAATTAGAATATTTAGTAGTACATGGCAGTAGCCTTTGTCCCAACTGACTTCACACTTAGATTAGTATTATTATCAGCCAGTGTTATTCATCTTTTTGGTTTCAGGAAATTTTATTCATATTTTAATAATATCATGATACAGACTTTTGCATATGAGCTAGTTAATATTGAGTAGGTAGATGTACAAAGTGTGCTGCATACAAATTGAGGTTTCCATAACAGTGACTTCCTTACTCTCTACAGGAAAATCCTATAATATTACCATAAAATAAACCACAGTTGCCGCCTCATCATTTTCAATCACTCGACAATATTTACAAACTTAACAAAGAGTTAATCTGTCAGTTGTCAAAAGAACAATTAGCAACTAAAAGCTAGTGCTAATTAATCAGTTAATTAATTATTACACTCCTAGGAGTGCTCCTATTTACCTCATAGTGTATTTAATGACACTTTCTCAATTGAAGAATTCATGTAATGTTGAGTAGAAGGGTGGATTTTGTTGATGGATTGGAGCAGATATGGATATGAACTTCTCTCCCCACATTTTCCTGCAGAAACAGAGGTGAAACATGAAAGACCTCAACCATCATGGCTGGTCTCTGGGCTTAGAATCTAACCACTTTTTCTCTTTGTGCACATGAGAGGTACTGATTGATCCTTCACATGACGTGATTTGTATTTCACTCTACATTTGCAGGTGTCAGAGGAATGTAGCCCAGTCATAGAGTCACTGGTTCGTGATCCTCTTGCTGAATTGCTGGTGCTTGTGGATGGAGATGTAAATAGGCCAGATGGGGGTGGACGCACCTTGTTACACTCATTATCGGCTGAGGGGAATGCACAGCTACTGGAGCAGGCAATAGCTATGTGTCATGATGCAGACCTTGAAGCAACTGATCGCCATGGACAGACTCCGCTCAACCTGGCTGCAAGGCATGGTCATGGAGATGTGGTGGCAGTTTTGTTAGCAGCTGGTGCCACACCAGATCATGCTGACTGTGATGGTTGGACTGCACTCAGAGCAGCAGCATGGGGAGGACATACACAGGTCAGAGAGTTCTCAAATTCTTGTATACTATCCGCATTAAAACAAGTGGTGGGAAGGGGACATGTTCGATGGTTGGTAAAACCAAGGAAGTTATGATAGGCTTGGCATCTAGTTCAGTTTGGGTCTCCAAGATATTACTTCATCTGCTTCCAGCATTGAAGTAACATTCAAGAGACTAAAGGATTAAAACCAATGACAACTTTGAAACCACAGTGAAATGGTGATTGAAAGGATGGGACACTGATTATTATGGATGGGGGATGGAAAAACTTGTCATGTAGTGTGGTAGGTATCTTAGTCTCTGCTGGATTATGCAGAGATGTAGTTTATTAGTTTCATTATCCATAACAAAGCATCAGAAAATCACTTATAACTTTCTGGTTGCCCCTCTTACACGTACATTCTTTAACTTTTATTTTACTTGGAATGCAATGAACGGACAGTTTCATAATATCCATCATATTTCGTCATCTCTGGTTCTTCTTCTTTTTTACTGATGCTGTAACTCTGAGTATGTCTTGACCTCCTCCATAGGCTCTGGAGATTCCATACCAGTAGTTTTTTACAGGGTGGATTTGTTAGCCCCACAGCCAGCCCCCAGTATGGAAGACCAGGGACTACACTTTGCCTAGCCCCTACCCTTTTAACTGTTTGGTGTGGGTGGCTCTACCAGGAGCTTACACTCCCGCTAGCGTAGCTCCCCAGATCATTGGGGCACGCAAACCACCTCTTCATGATAAGGCGGTAGTCCTTGAGACTGTATGTGGTTAGGAAATAAATAAAGTCTGCATTCAGGATCATCCTACTTGTTTTAGCCATAATAGTACAAAAGAACATACAAGCAGTAGTTGTGATAAATCAGTGAAATAAAATAACTTTGAATATAATTATATTTGCTTATGTTCTGTGACCTTCATAACTTGCACTCTTCTCCAAGTATAATTAGAATGATCAAGTCAAGGAGGATGAGGTGGGTGGTCATGTAGCACAAATGGGGGAGACGAGGAATGTGTATAGGATATTGGTGTGAAAGCCAGAAGGAAAGAGACCACAGGGAAGCCCAAGGCGTAGGTGGGTGGACAATATTAGAATGGATCTTAGAGAGATAGGATGGGATGGTATGGATTGGATAGATCTGGCTAAGGATATGGACCAGTGGAGGGCTCTTGTGAACACGGTAATGAACCTTCGGGTTCCATAAAATGCTGGGAAATTCTTGAGTAGCTGCAGAAGTGGCGGCTCCTCCAGAAGGGCTCAGCTCAATGAGTAAGTAAGATGTTCTGTGACAGTGACAGATACAGAAGACAACATGCAGAGGACAGTTATGTGAACTTTATCAAGTCCATGTGCTCTGTGAACCAGGGTTTGTTATGACTTGTCTAGGCAACCCTACAAAAGAAAATCCTGTGTAATCATGTTTCAGTTCCCTACTGGCATATGAATACCAGAAGCATGTTCAGAATGGAATCTAGTAACTCTCTAATGATAATGTGACTGTCGCTGTCACTAACTGATGTTGCATCCTTTTACCATAGTAGATGGAGTTTAACGTAGCCAGTGTGCAATGTACTAATTTCAGCAAGAAACAAAAAGACAATTAAGATGGCACTTCATAAAATCATAAACAGTAGTTAATAATAAAATTACTGAACAAGTAAATAATTTAATTTTTTTTTTCATACTGTTGCAGTGGTAGATAATAAAGATCAGAAATAAAATTAAATATGTTTTACCACAATCTTTGAGGGAGTACTGGTAGACTAAAACAGTTTCACACACCCATATATAGGTATTATGGTCCTCAGGGTTGTGGCATCAAGCAGTGCTGGTGGGCAGGTTCTAGTGTTCTAGAGGAACACACTGCCTTCCTTTTCATGGTAGAAGCAAGAAGAGTTGAAGTGGCTGGTTACATAGAAGAGAGGGGAGGAAATAAATCGTGTTATGATAGGTGTATTAGTATATAAGATCAAAAATTTTGTGACAGTGGCATATTAATACAATTATTTTTCTCTGGACACTATCCATCATCCTGTTTTTTATTTAAAACAAACAATGTTTCAGAGACTGGATTCAATCTCCATCTTCAGGTGAAATCTACTCAGTTGGACCCAATTGATAGAGCTAGTTTCTAATGTTTGTCTTAACTCTCGCAGATGGTTTGTGATGTGCTTGGTTTATGTATCCTCACTTGTGGTGGTGGTGCTGGTGTTTGGAGATAAAAAATAGCTCTATTGATTGGGCCCAATGGAGTAGGTTTCATCTGAAGACAGAGACATAATTCAGTCTCCAAAACATGTGTTTTAAATAAAAACAGGAGGACAAGTAATGTCCATAAACACAATAACAGTATTTGTACAGATATAAAGTGGAATATATGTTCATGACTGCCATAGTATAGGACAGTCTGGGACAGCTCGGGGTATGAAAATCACAGACCAAAAGTTGGTGGGAGGGGACAAAGCGAAGTGGAAAGTATAGTTCCCAGGAACATCTGTTTGTTTGTGTGGGTCTGTAGGTAGTGGAATCTCTCCTTGAACATGGTGCAGCTGTGGATTGTGCTGACTCTGACCAGCGCACAGCTCTGCGGGCAGCTGCTTGGGGTGGTCATGAGGACATCGTGTTGGCACTTCTACGTCATGGTGCAGATGTAAACCAAACAGATGATGAGGGCCGCACAGCGCTTATAGCAGCGGCTTACATGGGACATTCGGAGATAGTGGAGCACCTCCTTGACTTTAGTGCAGAGATCAATCATGAAGATGCTGATGGGAGAACTGCACTTAGTGTAGCAGCACTTTGTGTCCCAGCAAATGAAGGATATGCCAAGGTGTGTTACTTCTTAATGTATATAGGCATACATTTAACCGATTCATGGCACAAATATATGTATTTTCAACATTGTTGTCATGATAGCAATATTATTTTCTAAGGTAAGTGAGTAGGTGGGTTTCAAAGCACATCAGTATTGGCAGCTGTATGTGCCTGGACAAACTGCAAAGTTAATTACATTTTACAAAAACCCAGTGTAAACTTTAGTATAATGGAACGTGTATCAAACCACAAAGTGTTCCAAATAATAATAGGTAATTTGTAAACTGACAAGGAGGGTACCACACTGATTACAAACAGGTGTCAGATCACCTCTTGACAAATGGCAAGCAATATGTAAGATGAATGTGACCAATGTGAAGCCACATGACAGTGACTTCCTCAGTTCGAATAGAGCTGTTGAAGGAAAGCCACACCTTTCCTGACAGTTTCACTACTTGTACTTTGTTTCCCATTGCCTGGAGAAATTCATTTTTCCATGACAGGAAAAGAGTGTGAAGAAGAAAGACATGAACATTTCTACATAATGCTCACTCTGATGGTGAATGGCTGAGCAGAGTGGCTTCTTTGACAGCTGTATTGTTGGCCTCATTTCTTGGCAGACCAGCATGGCCAAGTACCCAACAAAATACGTAGAACAGGTTTCCTACCTTATGGAGATGGAACACTTGTTGCAGAATCTCCAGAATTACTGCATGGTCCAATGTGTGTCCATGAAGTTTCTTCAAGGCACAGAGGAGTCTGGGCAGAGGACATTATTCCAGTGAGGTTGTTGGGGAACGAAGAGAAGAGCTTAGTAGAAGGTGTAAATTATGGCTATGTAAATTCTGTAAAAACTTAGGAGGTAGGAAGAGATAAATGAATGTCCTGTTGAGCTGTCAGCATGTGACTCATCTGTGTAAGTTGTGTATTCCAGTCAAATATCACTGATAAGTAAGGGCAGGCATTATGCCTTCTTTGTACTGGATGGGTCGAAAGTCATAGGCCAGATATAATGACAGGCATGAGTGGAGTATGAGATAGTCTACTTGGAATGAAACACAGCAAGCCAAAGCCAAGGCACTCAAGAAGTAGGTGAAAATGTACACCCATGCCATGGGACCATGATATTCCATATGTTCCTGTTGTTGATGAAAGACTGCACTATTAGATGGGCGAGGGAGCTGTATTGACATCTGCTCTACATAACTGCAGAGAAAGAGGTTACATCACAGGAAGAGTGGAGGTTTCCTGTAATCCACATATAAATTCTCCAGAGAACTGAGTTAGAAGATGCCAGTGGCAAGATGAATCCCAGTGTTGTGGACAGTTCACACTTAATTATAAAGCCATAAACGATGAGGGCACAGGAAAGTCAAAGCCTCAACATCAAATCTAACAGATAAAACTTTAAAATATGAAGTGACCATTCACATGTAACTTGGAGCCATTGCAACTTAGGTTCCCATGAGAGTTTATTGTCAAAAAGAAGGCTTAGACACTTGACAGCTGGAGCAAATGACAGAGCACTGTTGTTACACAGGGTGTAAACCCTGTAGTGCTGTGAAGTGTACACTCTGAGTCTTTGTTGCAGAGAAGAAAAATCCATTCTGCAGAGCTCAGTATGACAGACAGTTGATAGAAGGCTGTAAGCATTGTTCCAGTGTTACCATACTCTCAAAACTGAATAGATTGCAACTTCATCAGCATACTGTGATGTTGAGACTGCTGGGCTGTCTCATTGATTGTGATAGCAAACAAGGTCACATTTAAAACTGATATATGAGGCATAATATTTTCTTGTTGACTAAATGCAGAAGAAGCCTTACCCAGAAGAACACAGAAATGATGATCCTGAGAGAGCTCAGAAGGAACAGTGGTGTCTGACCCCTAAGATTGCACAACTGAAGTACTGTGAGGGTACTATATCACTAAGTTGTGTCTTATGCCTTCTTTAGGTTGAAGTAGGCTGAAAAGTTGTTGGCACATGAGGAAACGGTCTTCCATATGGTGCTGTAGGTTCACAAAGTGATTAGAAATGGATTTATGGCATTGGAACACACACACTGGACATTCAGAAGTAAATTTTTGCACTCCAGGATCTAGACAAATCAATAATTTACCACACACTCCCATGATCATACTGACGCAGCTAGTCAGACAAGTAGGCCTGTTATTTCTAAACACTGGATGAATTATAGACCATTTATTCCGTGTGCAGTGAAGAGAACTTCAACAAAATCTACAACATAAATTTCATATTACTGGCATATGTTAATTTAAAATTACAGATTCTGTGTGTACTGCTGCCTGGTGGAGGCAGGCCAGTATGAACATGTAAACTTTCTTGCTGTTGGTGAAACACAGATATTTCAGACAGCCATGCATTAGTCAGTGGTCATCTAGTTGTCATCATTTCAATTTTTTGGGGCTTTATTCCAAGAATATGACATCCAACCTCCATATTAATGAATGTTAGGGCGTCTGAAGGTGAAGTGGCCAGAACACAATGCTGACTTCTAACCTGCATATAATGTCAAGTCTGTAATACACAGAGTTCTACTTTAATGCCCTTTATTTAACTATCAAAATATGGCGTCTCAGTCTTAGATTAAATTTGTTCATTATATTATTTTTATTTTTTTTTTTTGGTTGTTCAGGTAGCACTGTTATTTGTCAGGTTAGTTTTTTAAACTGCAGTGTTTTTATTTACCTATTAATATAATTTAAGATGAAGTTTTTTATAAGTTAATGAACATTTCCAAAGCAAGGTTCAGAAGGAACCGCCTTATATTTCTGAAACTCCGATAGCAAATTTTATGTATATCTGTCTTATCTCTCCATCTGTTTGGTTGTGTTACTATAAACATTTCACTATGTTGGGGGTGGGACTCACAATGTAGCTGGGTACTGGCATCAGAACTCTAATTGTGGCTTGGGCTACAGTGTGTATATTTATAGTATTTTGCATTTATTCTTGTCTTGTTTGTACTTCCACTGCTCACAGGTTGTGAATATTCTACTTGAACGAGGTGCAGCAGTCGATCATCAAGATAAGGATGGAATGACACCTCTGCTGGTTGCAGCATTTGAAGGACATAGGTAAAGTACACCAGTGAGACTGAGCAGATTGCCATGATGCTAACACTTCTCGGATCTGGATATGTACCTGGCTCAGCATCAGCTATCCTGACTGTAGTTTTTCATAATTTTCCTCAGTTTGTACAGGCAACAGAAGAGAGAATACAGCTAGGTCACGATTCATGCAAGTTCAAGTTTTGCGATATTCGTTTTAGTGCAAATTGTGCAGTGATACCAGGTCACATTTAATGCGAACCAAAATTAACTTATTGCAAGGCTAATGCATGGACCGTTGAGGTTTCTGTTAGGGTTTTAGATGCTGCTTTTTCAGTCTGCACTCGTTTACCTTCACATGTATATGTGCTGCTGCCTGCCTTAATATACGTTGCTTTTTATGATATGTTTTAATCATTTTAAGAAGTGCCCTTAACAAAATGGACAAAAGGAAGATTCCTACAGATAAAAACACTATGAGCACAGAATAGAAGATGCTTCTTATCACATTAGAGCAAAAATTTGGTGTGATTGAATGACATGATGTGGTCATAGCAACTCTAAAATAGGACAAGATGTCAGAACGCCTGAATCTGTGATATGGAATATTATAAAACACGTAGGGGAAATAAAAGAAAAAGGTAACTTTGCATCAGATTTTTTGTGGTTTGCAAACATCTTCAAGGAAAATAAGTGTTACAGTGAGAGCAGTAGAGCGTTTTTTAACTGTGTGAATTGAGGACTGCAATCAAAATTTCATTCCATTTATCAGAGTATCCAGTCAGTCAGAATTTTTAATTTTATTTAAGAGAATGAAAAGAAGAAAGTAATGAAGAAGAAGAAACATTTAATTCAAGAGTTGATTGGTTTAATCACTGTAACTACTTTGTAGGTATATTCTTTTTGTCCTCTACTATAATATTTTCTTTAATAAACATATAAAAACTTAAGTTTAAAATTTTTCTTGCCTATTTCTGTCTAGTTGGAACAAATTTTCATATTTTACATATAATTATAACTTTGAATAGTGCGAATTCAAATGTGACCACTACATGGGATCCATTATCCGCACTAATCAAGACCTACCTGTATCACATATCACATTTGTCTTATGTTTTATCATTTTATGGTACATATCTGGATAGCCTGATGCAACACTGTAAAATAAGCAACGACCAAGACAAATATACTGCATTAGATTCCTATTTAACATTAGTTGCTGGGAGTAGGGTTCATTCACAGCACCTGTGCAACTTAATTGTCAGCTTACAGACAAAAAGTAATAGAAAAGTGTACTCCATTTTGAGTACAGCTTTTATATTTCTAATCCCTTATTGAGCTACATGCTAAGTCTTATTCAGCCTGCAGTGTATTCAGCAGCCATTTCCTAGCAACCGCTTCTAATAGTGGAGATTCTTTAACTTCACACACTCAGGTCCTCTTGTCACAGCCACCCATGCAAAACTCCTGTCAACTGTCAACTCAACTATAGCGCCACCTCTTCTCAGCCTCCGATGCAGAGCTCAACTGAATGGGTTGCCCCAGTTCTGTTCTTTAACACTTCTCAATGCAGACTGCGTAAACAGAACCCGGTTTCCCCCGTTGCATGCATAACTGTTGCTGCGGGAATGCTGCCATTGCCCAGAAACATTTCTGATATGATCGCCCATCTCACTATTTTTGCATAACAATAGCCATACAGCCTGCAGTACTGTTTCAGAACTTCAACAAATTCTCTGATTATGTAACAGAGAAGTAGTTAAGTGTGTATAAGTGTATACAAATGTTGGAGGTTATTTCTTTATGATAACAAGCACAATTTTACACTTGTCTGACAGTCTGATTGGCAGTGACAATATTATAATAGGTCACTGCCACTTTATCAGATTGCCACTTGCCTTTACATTCCCACAGAACATTGCAGTTGAATGGGTTGTAGTTCCCACTTCTGACACAAAATTTAATGTGTTTTGCTACTGAAAACGCAGTTCAGATTGTTAAATGGTTTATTTAACAACCTACAAGTTGAAACTACAAATACTTACAACACTGTTATGGGTTTACACACTTTACAACCCTACACAATAATCTCTTCAGTAGTCTTCACATATTTATAATTTATTTAATTACAGACTCCCAATATAACTGTACTACAGCACACACAGAGTCTTGAAGTCACACAGTACTTCTTCACTGGCTTCACAATCCGTGCTCAGGTCAATCCGTACAATCCGTAATCAGGTCGTACCTGTCAAACAGACTCCAATATGTAGAAATAAAAAACACTGACGGCAGTGTCAAAACCAGTTATAATTCATCATGTAGGAAAGTGAAGTATGGTGTACCACAGGGATTAGTGTTGGGGCCGCTTTTATTCTTACTATACATTAATTGTCTTACAGAAAATATTCAAGGAGCAAAGCTGGTTTTATATGCAGATGATACCACTTTGTTAATTACTGGAAAAGATGAACTTGACCTTCAATATAAAATAATGAATGTTATGAAAGAATTAGAAATATGGTTTCAAAAGGATAACCTTGTAATAAATACAAAAAAGACATCTGCCATGTAATTTCATTCAAAACAGCGGAGAGATCCGTTAAGACCACAAATAGTTTTTAATAATACAGAAATAGTATATCAGTCAGAACTGAGATTTCTTGGAATTCACATGACAGAAACCCTAAAATGGTGCGCTCATGCTCAATTTCTAAAAGCAAAGCTATGCAAAGTAATTTTTATGGTGAAAATATTAAAAGAAATAATTAGTCCATATATGATAAAAAGTATTTATTTTTCAAATTTTGAGTCATATATGAGAAATGGTATCTTATTGTGGGGTTAGGATGGGGAAAGTAAAAACATTTTTAAATTGCAAAAGCGGGTTCTTCAAGTGATTAGTGGTATTAGTAGTCGCACGTCATGTATACAGATTTTTAAAGATTACAATGTTTTAACATTTCCTTCTCTGTATATACTGGAGGTGACATGCTTTATCAAAAAATACAAGGCTTTTATGGCAATAAATTCAGACATTCATAATTATAACACATGAAGAAAATTAAATTATCATGTACAGCACTGTAATACAGCTCTTTTTTAAGAGGAGTGTGATAAATATGGGAATTAGTTTGTATAATAAGGTCCCCAATCAAATAAAACAAAGGGAAAATTTTAACTTATTTAAAAAGGAATTAAAATCTTTTTTGCTGAAACATCCTTTCATACTGTAGATGAATTTATGTCTTTTGATTCATCAAGTGTGTAAATGTAATATGTAGCTGATTAATTTGTTGTATTTGTGTAAAGACAATGAAATTAATGGTAACTAGAGCTAGATAATATTATTCAGACGACAAGCCCCCTATATTAGGGTGGTACAGTGTATACTGTAAAGATATGCACGAGAATTAGATGTAAAACTGACAATTTCCTTATCCAAATGGTTGTAATACCTGTATGTATGGATTGTTGAATGATAATAAATGATATGATATGATACTCTATCACTCCTGATCACACATACTCTCTCACATACTGCTCAGCCGGCTTTTTATACTGTTCCCTGTTAACTCATGTTACCAGTGGTGTCCCCTTCTTACATCACAGTGGGAAGTGCTGTTATGTCACCACAGGTGAGGGGGATGGAGTGTTGGCTGGCCTGTTACCGTAGCAGCGGCAGTTGCTCCGATACTGTTATGTCACCACTGGAGGGTGGGGTTCCCTAATAGCACAAATACGTCACAATATTATTGAGGTCCAAGTTCCAGTTCTTGGTCCAGAGTTTGGCTGCTGTGGCTAAGGATTCTCCTGGTTTCCATCAGTTCCAGTAGGAAGTTCTGAGATGTGTTAAAATAGTCCATAACGGGTTCCTTCCGCATCACAGTTCATGAGCATCCTCTCGTTTGAAGGTATATGGTATATGCAATTTAGAAAACATTCTAATATTAATCAAGAAGAAACTTTCACTTGTGAATGTCTTCATATCTCATTTGATGTTACTTAACCAGACTGATGTGATGTCTTTAAATAACCCATAGTTTGAGTCACCACATTGCTTTGTGCAGGGATGTTTGTGAGTTGCTCTTGGAATATGAGGCTGATGTGGACCATGCAGACCGTGGGGGCCGAACACCACTATGGGCAGCATCATCTATGGGACACTCAAGTGTTGTTGAGCTGTTGCTCTTCTGGGGCTGTTATGTGGATAGCATTGATCCAGAGGGGCGGACGGTATTGAGTGTTGCAGCTGCGCAAGGTGGAACAGATGTTGTCAGTCAGCTACTTGATAGAGGTAAGGGTCCATCAGATTTGACAGTGCAGCATCTCCCTTGAAAACTTGATATGGTGGTGTGAGATTTTAAGGTTCTCACAGTGGTGACTATGAATATTCCTGTCTTCTGGGATGTGATAACTGGTAGTTTTGTAGGCAGGTACCAACATTTCACAATAACTTGATGCCTCCACTTTTGTGATAGAAAACTTTTCAAAATTTCAAAGCCACAAGTTTCATTTGAAACATTTTTAATATGGTGAACATTTAAGAAAATATTATTAAAAATTATTTATGACTGCACTGTGGTATTGGTGCAATTCATTTTCATTACTAGATTTTTATCTGTAATAAATTCACTTCAAGGGTTTGTGAAATGTATGATGTATGCAAAAGTGCAAACAGTGCATTCCCCACTGGAATACGAATTTCCACTCCTGTTCTGAAGGACTTGATGAGCAGCACCGTGACAACTCAGGCTGGACACCGTTGCATTATGCAGCCTTTGAAGGGCATGCTGAGGTATGTGCAGCTCTCTTGGAAGCTGGTGCACGCGTGGATGAGGCTGATAATGATGGCAAGGGACCGCTGATGCTGGCAGCACAGGAAGGTCACACGCAGCTTGTGCACATGCTGCTTGCTGAACATGGTGCACCCCCAGATCAGCGAGCCCATGATGGTAAAACAGCTCTCAGGTGAGGAATGCTAGGTTGGCTTATTGGTAATCCATCTGAGTCATATCTGGGAGATATAGAGAACAAATCCCATCCAGGATTGCTATTCACAATGGACTTTTTCTTGGTTTTCCTTAATTTTCAATGCAAATTCCAGATTATTTGCATCATCCATTAGTATGGATTATTATAAGACAGGGTTTTCTCCATGCTTTTACTTGCTTTTATAAGGTGTGTGTTCCATCGCATCAATGTACACTCTTTTCTTATTTTCTTTTGTATATTCATAGATGCTACTGCTTCCCCACATAGTTCTTGGTCTCCTAGTTGTTCATTTATATGCTGTTGCCACATGTATGAGTGATTATAGATGGGGTTTGAATTTATGACTTGATTTATTAACCACATATACACTCATGATTTGTGACTACACTTTTCAGATCACTAACACACATATACTAGCATCCTTAGTCTACTACCGTCTCCACTAACCTTTTTTGGCAATGGATTTCAGCACAGGAACTATAACAGTCTCACTGAATTACACACCTCAAATATCAGACATAAAGTCATCTCTTCACAGCTGGACTTTCAACTGAGCACTCTTGCAACTAACTTGCAGCCATTTCTCACCAACCTCCTAGTCTTCTCTTCGGCGCCTGACTGTCAACTGACTACTTGCCCCAAACCATCCCAGCCATAACATCTCAGCATGGTCCACACAGAAAACACAGCTCTTCTATTGTTGTGTCTGAATCTGTTGCCACAGAGATGTGTTTGCCACACCATTGCTACGCAACAATCACAGCGCAGACCATGGAAAACACCGTTCCTCTGTTCCTGTACCATTCTTGTGTTCATGTCTGTTGCTGCAGGAATGTGTTTACCAAGTCATTGCCAACTAACCAGTTATCATTATTATCACATAGGCCTTCAGTGTGCCATCACTTCCAAAAGCTGTTTTTCTGTTTTTACCTGTGTTTTGTGTTCCTATGGCATTTTCTTTTAAATTTCTCTCCAGACTATTTCTGTTTTCTGTGCCATGCTCATTACCTCATTTTGTCTTCCAGAAGGACATATCTCATTTTATGCCCATGGCATTCTGTTTCTGCGTATTAGTGTAACAAACCATTACTGAGATATCGATTTTGTTAAGCAGTCCTTCATTTTGTTCAGATTGGCAGCTATTGAGGGACACTGTGAAGTTGTCCAGAGCCTGCTAAGTCATGGTGCCGATGTGAACATGAGGGATGCAGATGGAAGAAGTACATTGTATGTGTTGGCATTAGAAAATCGTCTCGCAATGGCCAGGTTTCTCCTGGAGGAAGGAGCAGCTGACATTGAAAGCAGGGACTCTGAGGTAAGTTTAGACTTCATGATTATATAAGAGCTGTCAGGGGGATGGAAATTGGATGGTAATTAGATGATGGTAGAAATGTACAAGGCTGTTGGTTGGGTAGTTGGTTGAGTTACTTACTTAACTAGTTTATTAGTTATTTATTTAATGAGGAGTTCAGTGGTTCACATTGTGACCCACTAAAATTAGTTCACCATCATGCAACACCAAATGATGTATTATTGTAAAATTGTATATATATATGTATGCTTTTGTACAAGGTATACTCCAGTTATTCGTCATCATTATTGGCCTACTTCTCATTTGTGTCAGGGCTATCCACCTTCAAGGCACTGAATAGCCTCATTGTATCATAGATTGGGCTGCATTATAAAAAATATGTTTCATCAGTGTATCAATAGAAGTATCTGTCTTGCAGTAACACAATACTTCATCCCTTTACCTCATAGCACATATTTTTAATAAAGGATATCCACATGAAATGTATACGATTTTACTGTAACTTTGCATATTAACCAAAAAAACACTGGAATGAAAACTGTTATGTGATCAGAATTTTGTTACCTACATTTGACAGATGTTGCAGTGAGACATCTTGAGTGGCCCAGCAGGTATCATATCTGTATTTGGTTTCAGTCTGTGCTTTGTTAAGGGATGAGGGTATCAAGGAGAGTAAGGTGAGTTGAATGAAGTGGCCAATTGAGGCCTGCCTCTGTCAGTTAATTTTTCTGGAAACTTGGAATTTAAGAAGGCCACCATTTCTTTGTGGAGATGTTTAGCTGCTCTGTACTGTCAGAAGAACATGTCACTGGTACCCTTTTCTTCCAAAATAGGCAGAGAAATTCCTCCAACATGGCAAGGTACACTATGCCAGACAAGGTACTTTTGACAGAGAAAAAAGACCAAAATACTTCTTGTCTGGACAAAGCACAAAACACACCAACTTTGAACTGTCACATGTATGACATCGTGGGGATTGTGTTGCCCAAATACCCAAGACCCTTGTGATCTGACTGATGCTAGTCTTGATAAAATCCTTGAGGCCTGATTGGTAAAAATGTCAAGAAATTTAACAACCAAATTCTAACAGAGGAGAATGAATGGGTCTTGTGACAGATGTTGTCCTGTTAATGAACTTTTGGATTCCATAAAAGCAGAGAAATTCTAGACTAGCATAGTAACTGTCAAGGCTTCATATAAGTTCCTGCAGCATAGACTCAGTCATTCAGTCACAGATCACAGTTTGCTCATTATTATTTCTCTGAAATGTTAAACGTCCCTTTCTGTTGGTTACAATTGTTAGCCAAATTAATGGGCTGTTACATGATGATGTTTTGCAGGGTAGAACACCTTTGCATGTTAGTGCGTGGCAGGGCCATGCGGATATGGTCGCATTACTGCTTACCATTGGTGGTGCAGATGTTAATGCAACAGACAATGAAAATCGGACAGCACTTCATTCGGCATCTTGGCAGGGTCATGCATCTATTGTGAGGTTACTTCTGGAACATAGTGCAAGGCCAGATCATACTTGCAACCAAGGTGCAACTGCTCTAGGTGAGATGACATGCTATAGAGGAAGTTGTGATTTTGTATATATTTTCTAACTGACCAAAACTGTCACAATTGTTGTCGAATTCTAATGAATGATGACATGGTTGATGCTTTAATATGCTTGTGGTTAATGTGAATTAAACTATAAATGTTACTGATGGCTACTGTTTCATTGTTATCATACAGGAATGATTTTTTTTACTTTTGTTGACTGGTCCCACAGCAACCAGGGCGCTGCTTGCCACAAGGTACATATGAATTTTGCCAGTGGATCAGTAACATTCAAAATGAAGTAGTTATGATTCATGGATCACAGGAGGTGCTGAAAATGCTATCGCTATACACATAAATATCTTTTGCAATTAATTGTTTCATTAACAAAACATGTCCAACAATCCTCTTTACACTTACAGCACACCAGACATCAGCTTTCACTGAATGGAGTGAGACTTCATGAGATATATGTGGATTTTCTGACCTCCAGGAGGAGGAGTTTTCATATTTATGTATCCCTACAAGTGAAACCACACTTCATCAGAAAGAATGTCAATTGTGAGTCAATCTCACCTTCGATGATGGACTGTAGAAGCCAACTGCAAAAATTAACCTTGTTAGCTAATTCATTTGACTGCAAGGCGTGTGTGGATTACTGTTGTTTTATAGGTCTAAGCTTCAACAATTGTGTTGCTGTTCTTGAACTAGACATTTGACACTCCAGTCTCTTGAGCTAGATGTTTCAGTGATTTTCTAGGTGTATGTTCAAGTCTGGCCCCTGTATCATCTAACTTCTCCTCAGCAAGCACTCAGCATGTATGTTTTTCTTTCTTGCTTACTGAGTGTCCCGTTTTTTTTTAAGTTTATTCAACAACTTGTGAATTGTTTGTCTGATGGGAACTCTTTCATCACGAAATGTTCACCAACACTTTTTAGCAAATACATATTTCACATAGGTGTCATACAAAAATACATGTTGCTCTAAAGTATACTGCACCATGATGTACCACACTGCTCAGTAACTGTAACTGAGGACAGATGGCTAATAGAGCTGATAACTGCTGCCTACTGCTGACAAATCAATCAAATTCCCACGAACTGTACTGCTAGCTGTGAAACATAATGTCATCAGGCAGTCCACATGTTAATTACTTCCCATCATTTTAAGTATTATCAGCCATCTGGCATGCTGATTCATTGGCAAAATTTGTAGGTGCCTCATAACAAACAGCAGACTGGTCACCGTGAAGCACAGAGCCACGAACCGGACAACAAAATTAAAAAACTCTCTGTATTTGTCTTATGAGTAATTTTAACATCCATGTATCATGTTTAAGTGTTCATCATTTTGTTCTAGAATACTTTGAGGGGATTTAATTTTGGAAATGATGTTCTTGAGATATGTAAATTTGTTTTCTCATCTTCGTTTCTAGTGGTTTAACTGCACGTTATTCTTTTGGTTTAGTCATATGTACCATCAGATTGTGTGTAAATGTGATATGTTTCTTACGTGCTTTTGCCATTTTTTCCTTAACAAGTGCTGAGAATTTTAGTCAGTTACTGGTCATGTATCTGGCAGATTATTTTGTAGACACCATTTTTACTTCCTTTAGTGTCATTATTAATCAACAGTGCAAATGTTCAGGATAAGTAATTTTCATCTCCTATCACAGTCCTAATAAAGAATTTTTGTTTATTACTGACAAGAGAAATTTATGTTTTTATAACAGAACAAACTAAAGAAAAGTATGGAAGCTAACCTAGTTTTTGCATTATACACAAACTTCAGAAATGCAAGCACATTTCTGTTTGCCTATACATAGTGTGGTCTTCATATATTTATTTTGTTTTTTGATACTTGCAACTGGATACAAGAGTGCATTAAGTGGAGTCAACTTTATGTTCAGTTTTGTATATTTTTAACACCCTGAGAACACCAGTTACATTTGGGGTATCATGTCTAAATTAATTATTTGTAATGCTGTTTTTAAATATTTTTATCCTCTGTAAAATGTGTACAGTTAGTAAGAAACTTATAGGTGTTCAGTAACAAATTTTGCACTATAGATGTTCTCACATGAAATCTGATAGCTTTTTTTTTCTTCTTTTCTGCCATGGTTCCATTTAATCCTGAAAGGAAATAATTTCTAATCCTTTTTCTACAGGTTTTTTATCAGTTGAACTAATAAGTTAACATCATCATCTTGCATGAGATACTAACTTCTTTCATTGATTTTATAGAGAAATATAAAGTTATATTGTGTTCCCTGCAGGAATAGCTGCTCAAGAAGGTCATGAAGCTTGTGTGAGGGCACTTCTAACCCATGGTGCAGATCCTAACCATTCAGATCGCTGTGGACGCAATGCATTGAAAGTTGCTGCAAAGAGTGGTCACGACTCTGTTGTGAGACTGCTGGAGGAGTTTTCTGCCAGTCAAAAACAACAGCTTGGCCGACCAGGGATCAATGGTGGTGAGCTTTATATATTCTTAAGTGAGTTTTCAGACAGTGTACCATAAAATGTCATTACCTTATAAAAAAAAAAAGGTAAAGGTATCACTTTCAGGCTGTGGAGGCGCATAGGATTGTGAGAGGTTGAGGCTCTCACATTTTCTAGACATTCAGCTCACAGATGGCAGTGAGGTTATCTGCCTTATGCACCAGCCGCCCTTTACCCCAGGAATATTCCTGGTACTCATTTCTATTAGAGGCTGAGTTGACCCCAGGGCCATAATGCTGCTGGAAGGATTAGGTAAATTGAAAAAATCCGGTGACCTCATCAGGATTTGATCCCACTACCTTCTGGCTTGTAGCATAGTGCCTCAACCAACTACTGTGTGTCCCCATCATTACCTTATACTTTGTATTAACATATATTTAACATTAAAGTACACAAATAATTTAGTAATAATAATAAAGTTATAAATAATATAGTAAATAATAAAGTAATGTAAAGTCTTTCAGCTTGAAATAATTTTTGTATGTCTGTGTCAGTGTTCACTCTGACAAATTTATTTTTACATATAGGAAAAAATCTCCCTTTTTAGGAAAATATAAAAAACCAAAGCCTCACATCATGTTGAAATTTCAGTGAAAAAGTAATGTTACTTGTAGAAAACATATACAGAAAATGACAAAAGTGTAAAGAGGATACTGGTAAATTGCTTACACTGGTAGTAATATTCTTCCATCAATAGCGATTTTGCCATTTTATGATTGCAGGAGGCAGCAGCAGTGCTACTTCAGTCACTTCTGGTTCCACAGCAGAAACAAAACCGTCTTCTGCTGTTTTGTGTCCACCAGGTCCATGCCATGCGTATTCACCAGTGGAATCACCAGACTCCAGCAAACGGCGCTCATTTGTATCACTGGGGAATAATTCAAGTAATAGCAAGTCCAGTTCTAATTTTACTGGCTCCACTAAAAGTTCCCAACGATCCCAGGAGCCTGGGGGCAATTCAAATCTTGTCCCACCTCTTCAGCATGCTCAGCAAGCACAGGTATGTGGTATATGAGAAGCCAGTTCTGGGTTACATTTCAGTTTTGCTAGATATTATCCCTTCTCACGAACATTTAGAAGAACACATTATGGCGGATTGTCTCAGTTGTTTCTTCATGTGTGAATAAAACTGCTCATCTCACAGTTAGTTATTCATAATCTGCCGTTTCCGTGTAGTCACAAATTGACTGATGAGGATAGAGTTAACATAACTCCTATGGTAGTACAAGAGTATCTGCTCGTCAGATAGTCCAGTCAAAAGCACAAATTCAATTAAGTAAACTTAAGGCTGAACTACCTTAACAGGATACTGACATTTATTTCACTTGTGTTGTCATGCCTGTCCCATCAGCCTTATTTGCAAAAATGGAGGTCACTATTTAAAGCTGAGGTTGACATTGCAATATGGGGGGGAGGAAAGCAGAGAGATATATCCTACCCCTCATAGCTCAATGATAATGCATCTGAATTGTATACAGGAAGCACATGTCATTCCTAGTTGAGTCTTTTTATTTGTGTTTCTGTACATTTCCACTCCATATACTGGTGTGAAGATACCCTGACACTGTCAGGCAAGGCAGACAAAAGCTTTTCAGCGTTTCATTTTCTTCTCTGTGTGTGTAGATTGTAGGCGGTCCTGCATTATCCTTCACTCAGCAGCTGCAGCAGTGTACTCGTGGCACAAAGACACGCCCTCTGAGCAAACTACTTAGTCCTCTTCAGAGTGAACCTCAGAGTCCAATTTATGCATCACCTCCTCACAGTCCGCTCAGTGATGTGGCTGTTCCTAGCAGTCCTTTGGCCCTCATGCCCACCACAAATCACAAGTCAGGTCTACTAATGTAAGTGGTCCTTTGTGTGCTACTTCTTATATGTTGAAATTCATCGTAATTTTATAATATGTAATATATTTGAAGTGATTATCAATTTCTGTCTGAAAAGATGCAGCTTCTTATGCTTCTTAATGTAGATTATTCAAAATTAATTTCATTTTTTGTAATTCAAAGAAGTAACTATGTCCCAGAATGAGTAAGAAAACTGGGATGAAAGTGACTGGAGAGAGCTACAAGGTCAAGTGGATTGCCATAGGAATTCCACGCTTTCACAGATTACGTCACTGTGGGAAATTTTGAACTTTGCAGATGATTGTGTTCAGTGTTATAAATAAATATGTTCCTGGCTCTGAATGTGGAATAAGTGAGTTTGAAGAGGCAGGGAATATTGCTGGGGGGGGGGATGTAGCCAGTTCCTTCATTACAACATGGAAGTGAGTCCTTATAGGATTAAAAGTGCTGAATTCCACAAGGAGATATGTAGTTGGACAAAATAATGAATACTGACATATATGTAGAATTTATATTCAGCAATATAAAAGATTATTATAAGCAGAGAAAGATGTGAGAACCATGCAGGTGGAGTGGATACAGACTGGTGGCCAAAGATAGCATGGAATTATAAACTGCAGGATAAAGAGTAAAAGGAAGACCATGGAGCCAGTGGAAAGAGGATTGCAGGGATTAAGTTGTGAATTCTATATAGAGAAGATGAAGAAAGTCATAACTTGGGTGCATAAATGCTGGCTTCTTACCCTGGAGATCCAGATATATTTAAATGGCAATCAGTCCATGTCAGATTTGTAGAGAGAAATGTGGCAGTTTTATTCTGAACAGTGCAACAATGTTAGAATAAGTATGGCTTCCAAAGAGGACTTCACTATAGCAACAAAAACCACTGGAACTATCAGTTTTGTGACTGTATGTATGGAAATCCATGACATAAAATAAGGGCTTCTGTCCAGTAAGTTCATCATAATGAAAGATTACTATGTAACTGCCAATATTTTCCCCTAATGTTTTGCACCGACTATACTAGCAGTATTGCTTCTGAAATTATTTATAGCAAAGGCCCTGTTAACCTACCCTCTCTGTCATGCGTTTATTTAGAAGAAAGATTGCATTCCAGAATAAAACTGAGTACCTTACCCCCTTCACAGAGAAATGTGCATCATATGATATCCACTGCACTGGGCAGTATTTTCCCCTCTTTGTCACAAATATTTATTTTTCCTTTGACTTTCTACTGACCTAGATAGTATGAAGATGTCCCATTCACACAGATGCATGTGTAAGGTTTTGTCACATGGAACATTTGCTATCTTTATGTTGGTTCTGACTTCATTTTTAAGAACCCTTCTTGTGTCAACAAAACAGAAGAGCTTAGACTTCAATACAGAACTTTAAATAACAGGGTTGTGTGAAGTCAGCAGCTTGTCAAAGGGCAAAATAGGAGAAAATAGGAGAGCAGTATCTACTAACATCTTCGACAATGTTCACAATATTGAAGAACAAAGAGAGTATGTGGTATATACTAAGCCTAAGCAGACTAAGCTAATTCTTTCATTTGTAAATATAAAATGATAATCTTAATTTCACAGTCTCAGTATCTGACTGTGTGATGAATATAATGAATGATATGAGATTTTGCTACCAGTGTAATGTTACTGGCACAGGAACTACAGATGTTGTGGATCCTGTCCAGGTTGCCTACTTATCTATGGGGTTATTTTAATTACAAGTATGGTAATGTAACTGTCATTTCATAGAAAAACAAACCGTTATGGATTAATGTACAGTCTAGTATACATATGACATAGTATACGCAAGTGATTTAAACTTCATTGTGTGTTATGTCTCTTAAGCCTGATACAAGTCGATACATTCTATCTTATGTATGCACAGGCAGTGAATTATAGGCAGAATGTGAGGAGGAGACTTGTTGAGTGGAATATGACTGATTTGTGGTTGCAGCCATGCAAAAAACAGTGGGCAGGAGTTTTGCTCATAAAGGATGCCTCCATATTAGTAGTTGGTTGTGAGTAGAAGTGGTTGTATGAGTTTAAAGAAGTCTTTAACTCTTTGAGTCCATATAGTGCTGATGACAATGAGAATGTCAGTTTTGTGTCCCTGTGATAATCACTTCAAAGAACAAGAAGAAGTATTGTATCCACATTATGATTCAAACCTTAGTACCTTATTGTATTATACATAAGGGAAAGTTAAGGAAATCGCCATTATTGGATATTAGGAGGATCCATTACAACAAGCATTTTCATAATTTTATAAATTCTCATAACAGTGAGATTTCATCTTAATTTGAGTTTTCCTGTCTATTGTCATCCCACTGGTTCTGTTCTTTCTTGCCAGTGCTCCAGGTTTATCTGTTAATGCCTCTGAGTTTTATGATAGGCAGCACCCACCAGCCTGGTTCTCTGATGAGCTTCACCTCTGGCCTGGCTCTGTAACAGGCCTAGACAGTGGCCACTTTTGGTTACAGATGTGTAAAGACCCATGTCACCTTCTCATGTATATGTTTCCTGTATGCATCCAGAAACTCAGGAATGGTAGCAGATCCTCACTTTGCAAGAGATACACATATGCGCATAATCCTGGGCAACTCTGGGAGTGCTGTGGGGCGAAGTCCAACATCCATTCTCTCTTCTCAACCTTCACCTGACTTTGGAAATTCAACTTCTGGTGGCAGGTATGTTTACTATAAAACTGACTAAAATTGAAATTACTATTATGTTGACTGTTCTGTGGTACTGGGTCATCGTGAGCAGTTAATGGTTATTCAGCTTGTCAAGAAATACTTGGCCGCTGTGGAATGCCATGGTTCTTCACCATCTTAAAATATGAATGTCTGCTATTGGACTTTATACTGAACTCAGGTCCACACTTTCATGCCCTATTTCAGTAAGATCTGTTTTTAGCTTACTTTCCTTACTTTGAAAAAGATGTAGGCTTATGAGATCATCATGTTGTCTGTGTGTGTATGTGTATCCCCCACCTAACAGCTTTTGAAATTATGAGCCACTCATGGGAAACTTGGTATATACTGTATTTATGCATGTATAGACCACACATTTTTTGCCATAAATTCAAGAGGAAAACTGGGGTGCGGCTTATATTCGAAATATTCGAAATCACACTTCATTTAAAAAAAAATATATATTCATAATTAGTAATACAGGGTGTTCTACTCCTGAAATAATATTCCAAGAAAATTATTTTTTCTGTAATTTCTGTTTGAAAATTGTGCTGTGGCCTATACACGCACGCGGCCTATACATGCGTAAATACGGTACTATATTGTTGACTTCCCCAGTACACTGAGGAGTTCTATCTTCACTGGGATAAGAGGCCTTGTAGGCATTTGAAAGTCAGGGTGATTTTCAACAGACTACATGGCATTATATCCCAGAAGACAGAATTTCATACCCACCACTGTGAGAACATCATATCCTCCAACCTTGTGCGCTGTTTTGATATGCATTTCCATTTCTGTAGTAATGTCTATACTGACTTTTTTGAACGTTTTCTGACTCAACCTGTATAATTTATTTACAGTGGAGGTTTATTGAAGCCACGTCGTAATGGAATTGTGACAAATCCTGCATTGAGAATAGTGGCAGGTGTGAAAAATGGACTGGATGCAGCTGCAGGGAGGAAACATGGCAGCCAGACTCAAGCCAGTCGTCTGCAGCAGTCTCGGGCCAGTGGGTTCCAGTGGAGGAAGGAGACCCCACTTTGAGGCTCTGAATATTCAGTATGTACATGTACTCACTCACTCACTCACTCATGGAGCTGGGCCCTTCTTGAGAATTGTGCAGCTACTCAAGAACTTCCCAGCATTTTATGGAAACCAAAGGTTCATTACCATGTTTACAAGAGCCCTCCAGTGGTCCCTATCCTCAGCCAGATAAATCCAATCCATCCCATCCCATCCCATCCTATCTCTCTAAGATCCATTTTAATATTGTTCAACCACCCATGCCTTGGTCTTCCCAATGGTGTCTTTCCATCTGGCTTTCCCACCAGTATCCTATAGGCATTCCTCTTCTCCCCCATTTGTGATAAATGCGCTGCCCATCTCATCCTCCTTGACATGATAATTCTTATTATACTTGCAGAAGAGTACAAGTTATGAAGCTCCTCATTATGCAGCTTTCTTCAGCCTCCTGTCCCTTGTTCTCTCTTAGGTCCAAATATTCCCCTCAGCACCCTATTCTCAAACACTCACAATTTGTTCTCGTCCCTCACATTACTTAAGGGCCTAGGTACATTTATGGGCATATCCTAAGAAGTTTTCACACCAGGAAAGAAAGAATCTTAAATAAAAGTTGTAGGTGTGAATAAAGTATGGATGTGTTATCTTCTACAGTATTTTCTCTAAACTTATAGATTTTAAGGAATGATAGGTATTACAGCAAAGAATAACTATCGCCCGTGCCAGCAGAGCATTGTGCAATTTCCTGCTGTTGCCCTATCACTTAGCACATGACTGCTTAGTTTAGAAGCAACACCTCTTATTCCTGGACAAAGTGGGATGATAGACATCTTGTTTAAATCAAAAGCATCTTTTTAATTTCTCTCAAGTCTTGTCAGCACTCTTGTTAAAAATGGGATAATTTGCTAATTTTGCTAATTATTAATTTCTATTTCAGGATATTGTTTGTATCACCATCTTGTCATCAAGCAAGTGGATTCTTGGATATCAAACTTTGTCATAACCCGTGATCCCCAGTCATCATATTGGTATCACATATCCTCATGACATTGTATGTGAAGACATCACATCTGGAACTAGTCTTTCAGTATGTAGTATTTTTAAGGAGTGCAGCTGAGATTATAGAAAACAAAGTGTGAATTTGTCAACAACATGACTGTTGAGTGAAAAGTGACATTGGAGAGAACCAGTGTTGCAAGTAATGAGGCCTATCGGATTAGGCCTATTGTTTCTATCTGCTTTTGTTTAACTTAAATGTTATAGTGCTGAATATTGAGATCATGCAGTAGCTCAAGTTTGTAATAATGCATAAGACTTTCAGAACCTTCAAATTATAGTTTACAATAATGAAAACCATTCTTGTGCTGTGACACATACATGATTAAGAAAAGACTATTCCAGCTTATGAGCTCTTTCTTCTATAGTGCTGGCCATACAAAGGCAAATTATCTGTTTCCCTTTTCTTGTACAGGGCTGTAATGTAGTTGCATTTCCTCTGCAAGAAAGCAATGAAAGTGTTATAATTTGCTCATTCAGATGAAAGTTTTAAATTTTGCTGTAATAATAATATATATCTCCTTTTGTTGCTCAGAATTATCCCACACTGTGTACCAAAATATGGCAAACAGTTTTAGTTTTTCTGTCCTATCATAGCTGTGAAAATGTTTGTCTTACTAGAGAATGACTAGTGCCAGTTTTGTAAAGCATAAAAGTGGATGTGTACTTAAAAGCAAAGAATGGTGATTTGTTTTTAACATGTTTAGCTATATTGAAAATTAAACTCTTAAGAAAAATATAACTTGCTATTCATATATCAGAATGCTGAAGCAATAGTCATTTCAAGGGCTTCAGTTTATGTCAAAGGGATAATATTCCTGCAATAAATTTTGCAACAAATTTACCATCTCAAGTTGAAGACAACAGTAGAGAGGCTGGTTTCAGAATGTCTTTGTACACTGGCCATGTCTGCAGCTTATATCTATAATGTTCCTGAGCAGCCAATATTATCTGCTATGTGTTCCAACACTATTACCATAAGAGCAGTAATCTATTTGTAACACAGGAAAAGCCTTGTAGTACAAGGAATTATGGCATTCTGAAATACTAGTGCCAGATAAGAACACTGTCCAGATCAGTAATAATATTTGTTTTAGGTTGTAGCTACATTCCTCTGACTTCCATACCTCAGATTTTCTCATATTAATGCCCCCTCCCCAAAGTGTTGAAATATCTTTTGAACTTGTACATTGTAGCTCTCTGTTATTTGACTTTCAGGGCATATTTTAACCTTTGTAGTTATAAGATTGGTTGGATCTATGGCAACAAATTTCATAAAGGGGCAGTAACAATTAGATTAATTATCCTTATCTGACATGCTTGCCATTTCCAGCTTTCTGCTGGTAGAAGCAACAAATTGGCAGAAATGGAGAAAAATTGAAATATATTTTCCCTGAACAGTTGAACTATGGGATGGAAGTAATTATAATCAAAATAATTAAATGTTTGTGGGAACATCCCACATATCATATTTATAAAGCACCCACTTTCCAGCTAATTTTTCACCATCACTCGCTCTAACCAATCACATTGCTTCCAATGCTTGCATTTATACAGCACTTACTGTCTAGCCCGCATCCCGATCATTACATGCGCTAGCCAATCAGCGCTCTGCAAACTTCGCTCCTCCATCACGCATTGTATAAAAGGCGGAGCACATTGCTCGCCATAGTCAGCGTCGTCAGTGTCAGTGACCACATCAGCCAGTCAGCTATCACACTTCGTACAGAGCGATCGGTCTTCGGAGTCATCGGCACTCCACTGCATCAGGGACAGCTGTCTCGGCTCTCCAGCGGTCATGCCTGACTCACTGGACAACTCAACTGCCTCGGCTCGCCGGCGGTCATGCCCAACTCACTGGGCAACTGGCATAGCTGCCACCACTCCAGTGACTGCGCTCCGCAACCAGACTTCTCCCAGCAGCCACGCTCTGCAATCAGGCAACACCCGACAACTGCCACACTGTGACCAGGCAACTCCCGGCAACTGCCGCGCTGCGGCCAGTCAACTCACTCAGCTGCCATAACATTAGTCAACACACCACAGCTGACATCATTTCTACCGGTGCATGCAGCCCTACTTCACCAGCCGAACAACCCTTTGCAGGGCCTACAAACTTTCCAAAGTGGTTTGTCTATTGGAGTATCGACAAATCCCACATGTTTAACTAAACTTTAGGGGCAAAATTCTCTCTTCAGAGAACTGTATCATCAGAGAAATGATAGAAATTGAACTCAATCCCAAAAATGTGAATGGAGAAGATAGTTTCTTCATGAGCAGCTTACGAAAGTCTCTTGTTCAAATCCCAAAGGGGCATAAGAAATCTCTTTCTAAGGACAAATCATGACTTTTCTTTCCTCTTCTTATAGTCCTCATTAGGCCTGTTATGTAATTTCCCTTTTCAGGGTCATCTTTCACAGTTCACATTAGTCTGCCCAGGGTTCCATCTCACCATCATCATCAGTGGCTTTGATTGGCCATTCTCTCTACACTTGCTGTGTAACGTCCCCATTTCCCAGCTTGGCTCTTTGTATATCCTGGAGATAGAGGCTGGAGGTTCCTCAGTTGCATCAGCAGCCATCAGTCAGACCACACAGTCATAACCCAAAAGATGAATAAGTTAAAAGAAATTTCAGACTATACAGTGTTTTTCTTTTTCTGTTACAATGTTCAGGAATGTCATGAGATTTTTCTCTTGTTAAAGAATGAAATGACCAGTTTTTACTTTATTTGACCAAAATCCAGTTACTTCCTAGTGATCAATAAATGTAATTATGTTATGATGGGGTAACAGCTGATACAGTGTGTTAAATATTCCTTCTGTCCAATGTGGAAGTTTATAAGATCATTCTGAAACCTTTCCCTCTTGGAAGAGAATTGCTGAAAAATAAATAAATTATTGGACTTTGAATAGCCAGCATTTAAGAACTGAGTAAATCCACAATGACATATGGCCTTATTAAAATTATATTCAGGGCTGCAGCCAGAAATTAACCAGTAGTGAATTATATGCTAATATTATCTCCAATATAAGGAAATAATGGCATGCTGCAGTGATGATACACACAGCTGTCTGTACCATCTTTATAATCATATCATTATTTCTTGGTAAGCTAAGAAATGTTTGCTAGACTTGAGTTTTTCACCCCTTTTTCTAGGAAACTCTCAGGAAAATGAAAACTTATTTTGTTCTTAGACAAAAGATTTTAATACACCTCTGCCGAATGCTTTTATATGTTATTTTATCACCAGTTTTCAGACTTAAAACAAAACAAATTGTCTTTAACAAGTAATTAACTTAATTCTCCAAACATTATTATGCATTATTTATTGTTAACCTGCTTCAGTTATTATGTCCTTAATTGGTGTGTGAAGCATAAAGAGCTTAACATCACAAACAGAACTGCTATTTAAAATATAGTCATTATAATTTGTGTGTGAGGAATGAAGTTTTCTGAATTTCTACAGAAAGATAGGCATGGCCATGTATGAGTGGAAAGAACTGCTGTTCTTTACAGAATGAATCATGAAGCCAAATACTAGAATGCATATATGTACATGACATGGGTGCATATATATGTGTATATATATGTGTTTGTGTGGAAGACAGTGAAATGATCTCTTTGCATTGATGATAAAAAAAAGACATAGCTTGGACATTGTCTCTAAAGAACGTTCATCAACAAGACTGTCAAATGAAGTGGCAATGAAGAAACATAATTAATGTCTGCATCATGGCAATTGGCTGTGTTGAGTGCTTCACTAGATGTCTCATCAGTGAGCCACCTGTCTTCTTCAGGGTTTATGATGAACTGATCTGGAGTCTGATAAAGATTGTGAGTACCTTTGCAATAAGAATTAATGTAATTGCATTTAAATTTTAATCTTTAGCCAAATTTCCTTGTATTGTAAGGAAGTATAGGCTTATGGTATCATCATGTCTGTGTTTCCGTCTATCTGTGCGTCTGTATTCTTCTAATATTTTATGCATCAATGAACAGATCTTCATAAAACTTCATATGAACATCATGCCAATATAGGACACACCACCTTTTTATGTTTTAATTTCATATCATCATTAGTAACTGTGTGGCAGTCATGCATACTATTGAGAGACCCCTCAGTGCCGATTATCAGACTTGGCATGATCATGATCTTTGAATAATATTTTAGTTTTATGAAGATAATCTTTTAGTAGATTGCAAAGTGACAGTACAGTGACTGTTCAGAATCTGTATTTACCTTTCTGTTTATCAGTATTGGTTAAAGAACCAATGCAGTTAGGCATATCAAGTTTTTCTGTGGATAGAGCATAAAAGCAACTACAGATTTTGTGTGAAACAGTCTTTATATATCAACAAGTACAGGCATAATTCTAATGTAGTGATAGTGTCAGAAGTGTGGTTGTAATGTTATAAATGTGTCCAGCTGCAGAGATATGATAAACCAGTTTATTAAAATAGTGTCATCCTCCTTACAGACACTTCTTATTTCATTGTTTCTTTATTCTTAGATTCTGTGGACCTGGGAATGTGCAGCTCTGAAGGAGGCAACATGCATTGGTTTGATTTCTCCCTGGGACAAAACTGCACACTAGCACCATAACATTTCCATACTGAACCATAGTTTTACACTAAGTTGTAAGTAAATGCACAATGAATGCTTGATTAAGACTAAAAGAATTATGTATGTATTAAAATATAAAGATGCAGTGTGTGAACTTATCTTATGAGCTCCGAAAATGCTGCAATTGTTTTTGTTCATAACATCTCTGGAATTTGTGCCTCAGAAACTTTTAATCACTTCTGGGATTTCACATTTTTTATCCATTTTGGCAACTATTTCATTGCTAAGCACAGTAATTGGTCTTAAAGGGACATTTTCCCTGGGAGTAAAACAACTAGATTGTGATGCTAACTTTAATCTTCATCTAGTGCGAAGATCAGAGATTTGTGGAGTTATGCCTCCACTCCCCCATACATGGTTATGTGCTTAATTAATCACAGGTGCAATGCTAGTTTTATAAGGCAAGAGGCCTTTAGTCTTAAGGATTGTTATGTTACCCAGTGTGCACACAGAGCAATGCTTCTTTATATCTTTGGCATATTCTGTTCCTAAATAATTTAGTGTTATGGGAAACTTAATCAGGACAATGAACTTTGCATCTATATTTCTTTGGTGTCAGTGGATTTGAACACTAAACTGAGGAAACCGTAATTGGAGGAAATTTAACACGGATATTCTTAACCTGAAATCACTAACATTCAACCTTAAAGGAGGAAAGAGCTCAAGTCAAACCTCCCAAGTTGAAGCAAGTGTCCTAACCACCAAACTGTGTTGTCTGGTGCCATTTTTATTGTTGTGACATATAGCATAAAGTTTTTCAGAATATTCCCATTAGATAATGTTGCCATTTAGTTAAAAAATGTTAAGAATTGCCAGAAGTGTTATGTACATGCAGTATTGCTGCTTTTTCTTATCCTTTATTTCTTTTCATTTCCCTCCATTATAATACATATTAAAGAATATTTAGTAAGTGACTTTGATAACTGTTTAAGAATCTATCTTTAATAAATGAGGTAAATGTAGCAGCAGTGGACCACTTCAAAAATGATTTCAAAATTTGGCAGAAGTAACAATTCTGTGATTACATTTGATATCAAATAGATCTTCTACCAAAGTACTTCCATAAGACTCATCTTTTATGCATACAAATTGTGCATGTTATTCAGTTACTATGTATATTTCATGGTTCTGTAAACCTATATAATAAATAGGATGGAGTAACAGCACAAAAAGAGCAGACAGCAAGAAAAGTAGTAATATATGTGTCCCAGAGGTTGATCAGTTAATTCTGTACCAGGCTTTCAAGTATACATTAGATATAATATAACAGAAAATTGGCTTGTGGCAAATGAAGATTAATGTATGACTAGTGTGTAACATTAAAAAGTTGTCCACCTAATTTTTGTACCTTCATTTGGAAATTTACCACAGCATTAATTACAGATATAACCAAAAGTAATTTTAATTATTTCCATAATTTTTAATTACAGGGTATTTAGTCTTAAATTGCTTGAATAGTCTACAGTACGATCTGCAGAAAGACGTTCTGCAGTTTAGACTGGCAGAAATATTGCAATATTAAGTCATTAAACAAATTAATGAAGGAAGGTTGTGTTTGGTAAAATATTTGCAAGTGGAGTGAATCATTTGGAGATATTTTAGGCTGTGACTGAAATCAGATATACACTTCAGATTTGAATTCTGATGGTTGAACATGTACATCTTCCATAACATAATACTCAAAACTCTGAAATTGATAATGTAGTTTACTGTATTTGGTCGTCCTTTCTGTCTGCAGAAGCGCATATATGATTCATATAGGGAAGATTACTTACTTATCATAATGGCCTATGTGCCCACATACCATAACTTTATGAGTTTCATGAAGAATCTTAGTGAACATTAATTAGAGATTAATATAATCATGTAAGAAATAAGCAGTTTTATCTCCAGTTCATAACCTTGTAATAAAGTCCATCGAAATGGTTCAGACATGACAGTGATAAAAAATACTTCACTCTTGCTGCATTTTCTTCATAATAGGCTCAAATTTCTTCTGAGTATGAGGATCATTGTTATGGAGTACTAATAATCCTGCTGTTTGTATTTTTGCCCTAACCTCTCTCTGATACACACAAAAATAATATTTTATATAATGTATGTCTGTCAATGCTTGAACTGAAAATTGTACCTGCTACAAAGACTAGGAGGACAGCTGGACTCTTCCAGAGACTACAGTCTCTGCAATGCAATAATGTGATGAATAAACACAATGCAAACGAATTAAGTAAGATGGATATTGGGAGAATACAAATCATAAATGGTGCTAAATAATTAATCATTGTCACACAAGTATTGTTGCAGAAGCCTAATAACTGGTTTATTGTATATTTGAGGAAAATGCATAATTTTCTGTTATCTTGAAAAGAAGATAATGTTTAATATGTATTCTGCATACTGTATTTATGCATGTAACATAATCATGCAGGTATATCCAGTATACCTTTTGGTAATAACATTTTCAGGGAAATGATGTGTTGAGAAAACTATAACACTATATCTGAAAACTTTCTCAAGTTAACTCAGCATTAAAATTTAGCACAAAATCATGTGTGTCCTTGAAGGTGATGGCTTAAAACACTTATATTTAGGGCACTATTTGAACCTTGAATTAATATGCTCCTTGTACAGTCATGTTTTTCTCTTCACACATAGTATTTCTTACCAACCCAGCCCCTAGATTATGAAGAGTTCTTTCTTCTGGGATGTAATGCTGTGTAGTCCATTGAAAGTCAACTGACTTTGTGGGGAGATATGTCCTCTCCATCTTCAGGGTTGAAGATACCAGCATGAAATGCCCTGAAAAGGACCATTTTCCTTTTTCACTGTTCCTATTGGGCAGTGACCAGGCCCCATTTCCTGTCCCCCTCCCATGGATTTGAGTGACCTTGCAATTTGCCAATGCAAACTAAACACTTCCTCACTGTATACAATTCAACCCTGAAGATGGAGGCAGCATATTCCTCCAGAACTTTAATGTTGGGATCTGCCTACAAGACTATACAGCGTCAAACCTGGAAGACCAAAATCTGAATAACCATCACCATGGAAACCGCAAATTGTGTATCTAAATATTTCACTTATTGACCAACAAATGTAATTTATCTATACAGAAATTTTGTGATAATTTTTAATGCATTTGCTCTTAAACTTTTTGGTTAATTCTATTTAAATATTCTGAGTACATGAAATGAGATTTTATGTCATTGGAACCAATGTCTGCATAACAACTATCTTCTGAAACCCTTTGGCATTCAATGAACGGTTGTGGTTACAGAGCAGAAAAGTGAATCTACTTTACTAGGCTTCCATAATATCACATCGTTTAATGCCAAAGGTTTACAGCATTTATTATGTACAGATGAATATTATAAAGAAGTATTAATTTTGTATTATAAATTCAGCTTATACTCATGTATCTGAAAGTGTGTCATTGCACCTGTTCAGAAGTAATCAGTTTTGAGCCTCACTTGTATGGACACCTATAGTTTGTTTAAATAATTCAGTCTGATTAATGATCTACTTTTCACTATATAGCAGGATTGTAATATGTATTATTATGGAGTTTAAGAATTGATCTAACAGTTCACAAGCATGATAATTATTGAACACAAACTTACATAAAGAGAAATAATAATTATGTTGTAAAAAAGACTTATGTATCATATTGTCTGTATGACGAACAGTCTGTTGAGTATAAAAGGGTCTATAAATATTCATAAGTCATTAACTGCCAAATTTATGTATTTGTTTAACTTTAGAATGCTGTTGTTTAATTAGATTATATACACATATGTCACCATTAAAGCGTGTAATCTGTTGTTTTATATATTGGCTGAATGCTTCAGTTAAAGTATGTAACCAGACATCTTTATACACTTTAACTATACACAACAACTATAGAGCAGGTAATGTGTAGAATGAAATTACAGTTTCTAAATTTTACCCATGAAAAGTAAAAACATATTTAGTGCAGATATATTCATTCCCTACGCTACATAGATTGCTGGATCGTCATATGGACTGATTCCTGTGTGGTCATTGGCAGCATGTTAGTTATATTTGTGAGCTGTATTCGTCCAGGTAAATCTACTTCAAGTGGCTTAACATAACCAAATGTAGAGAAAACCTCAGTATTTTACACCTTAATTATCTTCATAGGCCACCTCTGGGGTCTGGTGGTCAGAGTTCCTGGCTACAGATCCAGCTCACTATAGAAAACCAAAATTAACGGCCATGGCTATTTGTTGTGCTGACCACACCACACCCTCTATCTGCTAAAGTTGACACTAACTTCGCTGACAAGTGGCGGCCACTCAGTCAGTATAGTTCACTTGTGGACTAAAACCACGGAGTTTGTTCGTTAATTGCCCTCATATAGTTACTTTATGGAATAAATATGTATCCTATGAGGTAACTAGTTATAGCACATAATCTTGTTCTCCTTAAATACTGTAACTAAACCATTCAGTTTTGCATGAAATAGCTAGATATTTTACGTGTATGAAATAATGGAATTACACACTCAAAATGATAACATGTATAATACTACAAGACTGTTTATTTTGAAGCATATGCTAAATGGATATCTCTAGCAATCATTTGGCTATTATTTAAAAGGAATTTGATGGTGATAATATAAAATAGATTTTGGCATAGCGTGGTGGATGGGTGAATTGTCTAAGGTTGTTGGGACCAACAGTGTGTGTGTTGCATTATGAGATATTTTAGATTGGAGTGATGGAACAGACTTTCAGCCAAATGGTTTCTGGACTATGCTATTGTCTTATGTTTTTAATTACAAGTATCATACACATAGACATTTTATATATAAGCATTAAACAAATCATAACGGAGACATGAAAAATTTTTGTGTATAAAATTCTCCACCATTTGTCAGTAGGGAGGCAAAAAACATAAAACTGAAATAGGCAAGATACCATTCTTTCACAGAACTGTTTACTATTGTGCAATGTATATTATGTTACTCAGCAATGAATAGTAGGTGAAAGTGCTATAGGTCACCTTAGTATTTGAGTTATGTATATATATATATATTATTAACTCAGCTCTCACACATGTGATAACATTTGGTAAACTTAAATTGTCCCTTTTTGTAAAAAAAAATCTTCAACCCTCTTTATTATAAAACACTACAAAGAAAAATAATAATACAATTATTGACTTTTTAGGCGTTATCCACCATCCTTCCTTTTATTTAAAAACATTTGAGAGACTAGACTCAGGGGATAGGGACTAGCTCTGTCAAATGGGTCCAGCTGACTCAAGCTTCACCTGTCTCCAGGATGTATTTTTTATATAAAAGAAAGACAGTGGATAGTGTCCAGAAAGTCAGCAGTTATGTGAAATAATACAGTGTTGGTTCACTCAGACATCACTTATTTGTCGTTGACATCAGCTCTGTGACAAGCACAGATTCTCTTACTGCTGCTTCAGGTAACTTATTGAGGTATGTTCTAATGCCTCATCCAATGACTGTCCAACAGTTATTCCGTTGAATGTATTACATAATTCTAGTTTTTATTATTTGCATTTTACTTTTGGCAGGATTTATCTCAACTTTCATGTGAAGGTATTAGTTTTTTCCCCACATGATATTCTTTTGCTTTTTCTTAACCCAGATGCTCACATAGCATATAATATATTATGAATAATAATAAAACTGACAACATAGCGACCTGGAAATGAATATATCCATGGTTAGCACAGCAGATATCATATATAAGCAATGAGTATGCAGTGTATTCCCAGTTGTCTATGCTAATGAAGGGGTAAGATGCATTAATAACTGAAAAACATGGATAATCCAAATTTTGGATATGATCAGAAGACCATCGAAATGGTTGAATATATAGATTCAGAACTATATGTGTAGTGAATTAAATATAGCAGTTGTATCAACAAGATAATTTCCAGAGATGAGGAAGGAGGTTATTGTTTGGTGGCACCTGGCCTACACAGCAGCTACTGCCGACATGGTAATTGTAATGCAGAACCACTGGAAACCAATTGTAGTGACTACTGCTACCACCAGTCATAATGGCTGCTACTAATTATAATGGCATGTGTCGCCATTGTGGAGGATGCTGCAAGTTCTGATAGAACCTGAAGTACAAACCGCTGAGGCTGATATGTTTGTCTAGGGCTGTAATTGTTCCTATGGAGTGCTTAAAAAAGACTTTTCAGTTATCATCATGAACTCCTTAGAGTCTCTTAGGTATGCTAACTTCCTGTTACATATCCTATGTGGCACTATAGCGTGCATCTCTATGCTTGTTTGGCAGTATCTCATAATGCAACACATTCATTGCTCTTTGAACTAGGGCTATCTAATGCTCAGTGGATTGCAAGCAATGCTCTGTGGAAGGGCCATTCAGTGGCTCTGAGGTGCTAACAGACTGGGTGTTAAATCTGTTCTTTGTTTATTACAGCTACTAAAGTAATACCAGAACTCAGTGCCAACACATGGCTAGTAAATCCTATTTGCTGTAAGTGAAATCACTGCCAGGATGCTTTTCATCAATTTAAACTGCGAGCTCTTTCCAGTACTGCCTAAATATTTCATTATCCATCCATGTTTCTGGTTCATCTCAGCTGCATTTCCCTGAAATGACAAATATGCTGCTAAACATATTTTTTCCAGTGTACCTTTGGAGTTCACTTCAGCATGTATGACACTAGCAGGCATCTAAGCACATGGTCATAAAATCCCAACCTGCAATCTAGCTGTTAGTCATGAAAGATATGAAAGTGTAACACTGTACATGTGTATCCTTGGCATTCCCATGTTAGCAGTAATTGCTGTGTAGGCCAAATGCTACCAAGCAGTACACTGCTTCCTCATCTCCAGAAATGATCTTGCTGGTACAACTGCTATATTTAATTCAGTAAATAAATGAACATAAACATGAACATGGACATAGATCCCAGTTTCTTCATTTCTCTCAAAAACCATACAACTTTGAGAAAATGTATGAACACAAGACATGTGAATCATTTTTTCTGTACATCTGATGTCTGAAATATTTTTCACTCCAATAAATATTTGATGAGTTATGCTAGATATCAGAATGAAAATTGAAATGGTTGAACAATTCTTCGTAAAATTTTCCAGTGCTAGATTTCACAAAAATCCATCTAGCATTTCTTGAGTTTCATTCATGCAGACAGATGCATGAAATTACTGAGCAAATTTAATAAGTGCTCCACAGGGCTGTGAACACCCCTAAAATGGCACATGGATAAGCCACAAACCAGATAATCTGTGCGTGAATAGTTGTTAGTATGGAGAACTTTGTGTTGGCAGTGAAATGATTATTGTATGTAGGTCTGGGTATAATATTCCAGGTTCCTTATTCATAGATATAATGATATTAACTGTATGGTATAGGAAAGCAAACAGTACGTTGAATCCTTGATTGGGATTAATGAATTTAGTTCACTTAATTTTAAAAATATGTATTTACAGTTTCACGTACTTTATTCTTTCACGGTGAATTTATTGTTAAATTTTTTTTTCCTTATTTTCGATTAAAAACTGAAGGACAGAAATTCTTATAGTGTTTGATGCTTATATATATTTTCTCTCTTCATTATAGTATTAGAGAGTACAGATCAGTTTACATGTATGCTTCTGTCTTGAGGCAGCAAAATTGAAGTGGATAGATTTGAGACACCATTATTTTTGGTGATATAATTCAGAACTTTCAAGAATGTATTTATCCATTTGCCTGTGGTAGTAAGAATTTTTTTTTTGGCATGTGCTGTTATGAATTTGTCATTACTGTAAATATAATGTGCTGGTACTAGAAATATGTCACAATCTTCGGGCTAGTAGAGTTGTCTTCGAATGAATGGAGTTCCTGAAATTATTCTTGTTTGTAGATATGATGCAAGAAAACTGTTTAGTGTATATTTCCTATACATTCTTGACTTCAGTGAAACAGATAACTGAAAGCTTATGTATTATTTGTGTAATGTGAACCAGTTGCATAAAGTATTTGGATAAAGTGGAATCCACTCTTGAAGAGATTGTGATATCTTTATCATTGTTCATTTTCCACTGCTTTGGTGCATTTTATATACACAGTGTTTTGAACTTAAGTATGCCTATGTATTTAGACTGTAGCTCTTATACTGAGTTTTTTATTTATTATTTATTTCGTTTTGTTGTGGAATGAATCATTGTATAACCTGTGACACTTCAAATACTACCAGTGATACTAACCACTAGACTCTTTATGCCAGTTGGGTTCAATTTCACACACTGACATAAAAGAATATAAAGAAATAGTACATAAAACTGTTAGGATAGTTAAAACCATAGTCTTGAAGACAAGAGTAGATAATAATATCCTAAAATGAGTGTCACAGAGTCTCAAATCATCAAAGACATTCTGGTCACTACACTGACATATGAGATCTATACAAAATAGTTGTCTTGCATAGCACATAGTTTCATTAGCTCTCTGCGACATTTATATTTGCCTAATGTTAATATATCTTTTATTTGAACATGCATTTTATAAAATTCTGAATGTAATTTTATAACCTTATTACCTGCAGTGATGTCTTAGAGATTTATAGTATAATGTGTAGGCCTGTAAATGTTACTTTTTATAATATTTTATAGACATTGTGTACATTTATTTTGTAATAGTCATCTGTGTCATGAGTCTAGATTGAAGGCTTTCAAACAGCTTGGAAAGCTTGGAATGACAATGTTTTAGTGTTGCTTCTGTTTTGTTGATACATTTGGAGAGATCTCAGGTTCCTCAAGATCCCCTGAGTTATTTTCTGTGATGTA